AGCCACGAAATGAGCCCTTAAGGCAGGGGTCGGCAAAATGCAGCCCACAGGCCAGATGTGGCCCGCCAGGCCGTTCTATCCAGCCTGTGGGGCCCCTAAAAAATGTAGAAAATTAATATTTATCTGCTCTTGGCTGCCTGCCATGCAGCCCTCAATGGCATGCCAAAACTCAGTAAGCAGCCCTCCGCCCAAAATAATTGCCCGCCCCTGCCTTAAGGCTACAAGTGCCCTGCAGAGACAAGGGCTACTTAGCTTGAGGGCAGAGCTATGACTAGGGGGGTCCATAAGGGGCCCAGTGGTGGTTTGTATGGATTCAGGCTCACTCCAAAGCCCACTGGCAGCCTCCCTTACATTATCTCTCAGATAAGAACAAGGTGTGGTGGGCAAGTGATCAAAGAGGGGCTACATTAGAGCCTGACTAGGCAGGGGCTGCGTGGCCACGGGGGAGCATCACAGCTGCCCCTGTGGCTGGGACCTGCCATACCCAGGATCCAGATGCATACACAATCATGAAGGATCACAATTACGGTAAGAAGGTAAGTAACTGTCCTTTCTTCTCCAAGTGCCTGTCCCCATGGGTCCCCTGGAGCTGTGTTATCCACACCACAGGGCTCCCCTGGGTCCAAAGATCTGGCGGCAGGGGCGCGGTGGCAGCGTTAGTTTGAGCACCACTGGGTTAGACAACACGATGGTCGTTTTCAGCTTTTAAACGTATAACGATGAACAGGGTTTAACCTGACCTGCTAACTCCTGGGAAACTTTACCAGGATTCACTAACGTGAGGAACGTGTTTGTCCTGCCAGTGGTGCCGCTGCCTCGGGCTTTACCTTCGCTTTCCACAGACGCTCTGCAGAGGGGGTCCAAGTCCCTGGCACGAATGCGAGGTCGTCCCTGCTCCACCCTGCGGAGGGTGTCCCAGCACTGCGGGTGCGGACAAGCAGCCATGTCGCAGATGGTCTCATCCCACTGGTCCACGTCCGCCGTTTTCATGGTCACTCGGGCACTGGGGGACAGCAGTGACCTGGCAGCACGTGGCCGTGGGGCTCCCTGCCCACAGCAGACAGGGCCCACAGGGCAGGGGGAGGAGGGCGTCATCCTGCAGCACCCAGGCCACGGGGACCTGCCAAGCTCCATCAGCCTCACAGGGAGGAACCCTCCACCCACCCCAGCCCCGCCCAGTGCCCTCAAGCTTCGCCCACCTCCGCCCTTCCCCGGCTAACCCCGCCCCGCCACGCCCCCGGGCCCTCCTTGTCTGCGGGGTCCCCCTCGCTCACCTCTCCGCGGGGCCGCCGTAGCCGGGGCCCAGGCACGCCCGCGCGGGTTACCAGGCAACCACCCACGCGCAGGAGGAGGAGCGGTCGCGGTGCACGCTGGGAAAGGAGAGGCCGACTACGCCGGCGGGCGGGCGGCGCGGTGCGAGCAGGGAGGGGTCGGGGGTCAGGGGTCAGGGCTGGCGCGCGGTTCGGTTGGCCGGGCCTCTGCGCGCGGTGAGCGGGTGTCGCCTTCTCTGGACTCGAGGCCCCCTCGGAAGACGCCTCCTCTTCCCCTCCCCTCGGTTCTCACCTTCCGGGAAACTAGAGCCGTCGTCTCGTTGCAACAGGCCGGAGGTGCGGGTGCCTGCCTGACCCTCAGGGTTTACCGTGTGAGTCGTGCGGGCGCGTCTAGCCGGGTGGCCCCCGCGGCACCCTTGTCAGGATCTCGAGGCAGCGCGGGGGTTGTGGTAGGAAACCCCAGCTTTAGACGCTTTGCAAAGTAGGACTTGCTAGATCTGCTGCATGGATGAAACAAGCGTAGACTAGGAGAGGCAAGGATGTCTTGGGGTGATACCTGTCATGGGACCGAGTGTTTTATAAGCAGAGCTGCATGGGAGAGAAAAGCATCTGGTGAATTCATAACGCTGGTTTTAGTTCCAGGTGTCGCAAGATGGCAGAACGACCAGAGGACTTGAACTTGCCCAACGCTGTCATCACTCGGATTATTAAAGAAGCAGTAAGTACCATCAGCATCGAGATGCTTGATAAATGGATGCTGCACATTTGAGATTACCCCTCGACATCTGAAATGTGACAGCTGTTACATTGACTACTGTGGGAAGAAGAGGTTAAATCCTTGGCCTTTCTGATTGTATATTTGAGAAGTTAGAGTAACTAACTACTTTTGGACTCAGCGGTTTGATGTGTCCAGAATAGACACCTGGTTTTTAGCCTTGCTGGTGACTTCTCCCCGTGTAGTCTCTATGTGGCTTGGCTGAACGGGTGGCTGTACAGCAGCAGGTCTCGATCCACCGGTAGATCTTGGAGTGGATCCGAGGCTGGGGTGGGGGCTGAGTGCCTGTCTGCATGCACGCATGCGCCCCAGCCCAGCGGGTCAGTCTCTGGGGTAGGGAAGGGATGGGGGCTAGATCGAGGTCCCCGCAGTGAGGGACAGTGCCGCAGAGGCAGGAGCAGGGGTAAGTTGAGTGGGGCCCCAGCTATGTGGGACTTACCTGCTGGGGAGGCAAACCCCCAAATACTTTTTTCTCCCTCTGCCTCAATCTCCCCCTGCTGTACCGGTTCTTTCAGGCAGAAATTATGTAAAGCTTGAATCATTCCTTGGCTTCCTGACCTGTATGAACTGCATTGCCTCTGATAAAATGATGCTGCTTTCTTTTCAGCTTCCTGATGGAGTAAATATTTCCAAAGAAGCTCGAAGTGCAATATCTCGAGCTGCAAGTGTGTTTGTGCTGTATGCAACATCATGGTAAGCATCTCTTGGATCAAATCAACAGCAACTAGTTGATCTGCAGATAGTCCACTTGTGGGGGCAGGATTTTCACTGCTTCTCATGAAATACCCATTGGTGATAAATATCTATGAGGGGTTGCTAAAGCTTCATGGAGTCTTAACCTGTAATGTAATCTTGTGATTCATTATAGTTTCTTGATTAAGCACCATGGTGCCAATGATGATTTGTCCCTCTGGGCAAAAATCACTTTGCCTCTGTACCAGTGGACAATATTTGCTGCTGTAAAATGCTTTCTATGGTGTTTAATAATGAGGGCATGGACTATTAGTGGTGAGTTACCGTAAACTTGCCAGTGGTCATCTTTAACCATCAAACATAACAGTTGATTTACCTGATCATTTTAGTTTGCTTTACTAGCTATAACAGTGGTGATATTGGTTATAAAAGTATCCAGCCTTTTTTTTCTTTTTTTTTTAATCAAACATCCGTTTAATGAAGGGGTGCCTTTTAGTTTTGTTATGTGATTCCATCATAGTCCTTTGACTTGCTTGCTGAATGTTGTTCTAAACAGACTAGGAAATTACTGGGTGTGTCACTGAGTGTTTATTTGATTACTTAGGACCCCTCTCCATGTGCAGGTAAAGGTGCCATGTGATCTAAGTACACGTGCATGGCAGGAGGCATGTTTATGGAATTGTGCAATAGATCACACTGTGCCTTATTGTCTTCTCAGCAGAGGAGGCTCCCAGCCACTAGGACCATGTGCAGCTGAGTCCCACAGCTGACAGTTTCACTTTCTTGTACATCTATACTCTTTGATTAAATCTAAAGTTGTTAACATTCAAATGTCTCTTAAAGGCAATTTTTTAAAAGTGCACCTGCCTTGAAACTTGCCATTTCAGTTTTACAGTTACACCAATAAATAATTTTCCCTGTTATACTTCTATGAAACTCCCACAACAACAGAAAAATGTAACTAAACAAAAACTGGCTACAAACATAAATGCAGAATATAAACACAAAGGGGGGTGGGTTGGTTGTTTGTTTTTTTGTTTGTTTGTTTGTTTTTAATCTGTTATAGTTAATTTCCTGGTCAGTTATAAGCATCACTTATAACTGTGGTGACAAAAATCATCACTCTCTGAAACGTTTCGAGTTGACCGTGATGCTTAAAACCACTGGTAACTGGAGTCAATTTCTGCTGTTTGATTTCTGTTATTCTGCTTGTCTTCAATTAGTGCAAATAACTTTGCAATGAAAGGAAAGAGAAAAACACTGAATGCTGGAGACGTTCTCTCAGCCATGGAGGAAATGGAGTTCCAGCGATTTGTAGCCCCTTTAAAAGAATCACTGGAAGGTAACATTCTCTAAATTCACATTGTGTAAAGACTAGCAGTATGAGCTCCTATTTATTTCGAAAGTTGGTTGTCCAATATTGTTCCCTGTGCCAAGTCTCTTATCTCTGCCCCACAGCCTGTATTGAAGTTTGCATGGGGACAGATAACATGTGGTTCATTAACACTGGTGTGGTGTAATTTTATAATTGTTGATGGTTGAGGAGGCACTTTTGTGGTTCATGTAACCTTCCCCCATCACTTTTGTCTAGGTAGAGTCTTTTGTGCTTCCTGCTACATGTAAGCTTCAGTATCTTCATAAGCATTCTGCTGACCTGCACATCCTTTAGAGTTTGCTGGCACAGCTAAAATAAGAGGGTGGGTTACTGCAACTGGGAGCTTCACTGCTCCAGTTGATGTCAGCCAGAAGAACCTGGAGAGCTTCTAAATCATGGGAATGAGCACTATCAATAGTGATTCTCAACCAGGGTGCTATGAGATCCCTTTTAAGGGTGCTGCAAGAGGCTGTACAATATTAATACTGTTAGGTGTGCAAACATCTACATATGATTTACAGAATAAACCTAGAGATTTCAATTAGAAATCCATAGTGTCAGACATTCTGACCTGCTATGACCTTGTGACTTACTGAGTCCTTTGCAACAGAAGAACTGCTCTTTTAGTTTTCACTCGTTTTTTTTGACTGGAAAAATAAGTACTGACACATTCTGAGGGGGCCCTTGAGTCTATAAAGGTTGAGAACCACTGCACTAGGCCACGGAATTGTTCCTACTGTGCCCATCAACATACATACAGCCAGCTGTCTTTATTTTTGTTTGTTTGTTTTTGCTTTGCTAGTTTACAGGCGAGAGCAAAAAGGAAAGAAAGAGGCAAGAAAGGATAAAGACAAGAAGGCAGACTCTGAGGAACAAGACAAAAGCCGAGAGGAGGAGAACGATGATGATGATGAACGAATGGAGGAAGAGGAACAGAATGAAGAGGAAGAGGTGGATAACTGAGCCTCCTGGAGAGATGTGCACTGGGGCTGGACTCTTGGCATAGGGACATAAATGTTGTAAATCAACTTTGTGCCCCTCTGTTTTTTGGTAAAGCTCCACACTGTTCCTGGGGCTTGTTCACTCCTTGCTTTAACTTTCATGCAAGAGGGGAACTGATGAGTCTTCTACAGCTTTTACAGTGAAAGAGAACCTCTTGCTGGTGGCACAGGGATCTTGGCATTGTCTCCTTACTTCTGAACAGCCACTGATGTAATTGACTGTGGGCTTTATGCTGGATTTATTCCAAAATGCAGCATTCAAGATTCCCACTGAGGAAGCTGGGCAGAAGAACCTACATGAAAATGCTGAATAAGCCTGTTTTACTAACTGGGTCCAAGTCTGAATTTGATAGGCCTTAAGTTGGGTTTAAGTTTTACATAATGTTGATGCCTTAATGGTTTAAAGGCTGAACACAAAATTTTTTTGTATATGGGGAGAAGAGGTTCCTAGCTGCATCCCTTTATTTTCTTTAATTCTGGCTGTGCCTTCTCTTTCCAAATGTGACAGTGACACCCTTATTTGGTTGCAACCTTGACAGTGATCTGCAGTAAGACCATTCAGCAACCAGTTCTCTACAGGATTGACTCTTCTTGCCTAGGATCAATCGCATTCAAAGCGTTTTACTGTGCTTCTGCAATGTAATTTAATACCCAAAGTATTTGTTTTTGGTTTGGGGGTTTGTTTGTTTCAAATGCTGTGAGGCCAACAGGGTTTTTATATTTAAAAAAAAAAAAAAGAAATCTGAAACAATTAACAACTAACAAATCTTGTCTGTGTCGCAAGTGTGAGGCTGGGAAGGATTAAGGTCAAGTTCTGTACATTTTCTTTGGGCTGGCATTTGTTCCCTAATCAATCAGATGGTGGCATCACTCACCCTTTATATGCTGAGTTGCAGAAAGGATGTGACAGCAGGGTATCCTTTATCTGTTCAAACTTCTCATGTTCTTAGGATAGAATTTTCTAATGGATATAGTTTACCTTTAGGCAGTGCAGCTCCCCTGGTATCCTTTTTTACACAAGTTTTCCAAAACTGATTTAAAAAAATCATTCTACCTCCTGTCCTGGTAAGCCCTAGAAATATAGTAGAGAAAAGTATTTGCCTTCCCTAGGGGGCAAAAGGTGCAACTTTCAAAATACAGGAGACCCTCACCATTCACAGGGGATACCATTTACGGGGATCATGAGAATGTGAAATCTGCGAATAAGGCACTGCGTTCATGAATGGGGGTAGGGCACAGCTGCTCTGGCAGTGGTGGCAGGAGCATGGAGCTCCCAAGGAACTCCTATAAGTATATTTAAGATGTGGGTTCGGCATTCATGAATATTTGAAGCCGCGAATGCCGAACCCCGTGAACAGCGAGGGTTTCCTGTACTAGCTCAGGTAAAATGGATTAGCTGATGCAATGGTTAAAGAAAACTGCTACATTCAGTATTTTTTTCTCTTCTGTAGTAATTTGCTCTTTGAGCACTTGAGCTTCTGTCCTGAATACCTTCCCCCTTCCATATTCATGGGGATAGTACCTCCCCATAGAAATTCATTCTTGAATACATCCCTTCTGTGCAGTCTGTACACGAAGAACAAAATCAAATAATTGTAAACCAACTCTTTGACCTAAATTTAAAATCTTTCAAAATTTCCCAAACTTTCTTTTATCCAAGTTTTAAAGTATTGAAAATTCCCCAGTTCTGCTTATTCAGGCTAAACTGAGAGCATTTGTGAGAAATGGCACCTTATTGTTTGATACTGCATCTGAAGCAGGAGTTCAGCTGCTGCTGCACTGTTATAACACCATCTTACAGTGCTCCAGACATTGAAACCGGTAGAAAACTAGCAGAGCTCTTGTGTGTACAGCTTCTGCAGGATTGCAAACAATGATAGCTGAGATTATTTGAAAGGAATGACTTGTCTTCCTAAGGGGTTCAGTTAAAACACAGCTGCATGGAAGATCTGATACCTCTTGCAGTATGTACCTGAGGTGCATCTCTTCCTGGAGGGGAGCATTATTTTATTTAAATAAAAGCCAGGTTCTATACAGATACCTGGGTGGTGGGGGGGGTGGGGGTTGTTTTTTAAAGCTTTGGTTCCTCCAACCAGTAAAAAGATGAACTATTTTGTGTTTTATAACTCTGCCTCCCCTTGCATAGCCAAGGGTGACACCAAGCCTAGTGTATAATTGTTAAAGGATTAGATATAGGAGTTACAGTGCTTGAGGTTTCTTCACTGGGGATTTGATCAGCCTTCTGGTGTGATTGAATTGCAGCAGGCATGTCGGAGAGGAGGAA